GTACACCCCGGAACAGATCGGCCTGGGAAGAAACAGTCCACCGACATAGCCCTCAAGACGCCTTCAAGACAGTCTGGAGGAAGGTCGGGTGGGGGAGGGGTGGGTGGATGGGCCAGGTGGTGGGGGGGATCTAGAAGGATGCGGACGACGATGAAGATGCCGATGCTGCATGGCTCTTGGCGCGCCGCCCGAGCGCAAAGCTTCGCGGATCCCCCTTCGCAGGCAGGAGTACGCAAGCCATGAGTCGAAGGCATGACACAGATGTCCAACCACCGTCAAGAATGCAGCATCGCATGTGCCACGCTATTCCATCACTTGTGCCACGCTACTCACACCACCAATCACCTGTGCCACGCAATTCCATCATGTGCAGCTGGAGATGTAGGATTTGCCGACGTTCGCGGCGTCGGTCAGGGCTTCCAAACAGACTGCGGCAATCCTGGGAGATTCCTGGATCTTGGCCGTTGTCAGGGCGCCGCCCTGCATGTCTTCCTTGAAGCGGTACATGGACGACATGTTCATGCGGTCCTGTGGGCGAGGGAGGCCAAAGGCGCCCGAGACGCCCCGAAAGGCCCATCCGAGGCACCCGAGGCGCTCAGAGAGGCTCCCTGGGGACACCGAGAAGCCCCCAAGATGTTCCGAGAGGGCTCCAAGCCCAAAGATGATACAGGAGGGGTCCATTGTCCTCTGGCCTTTCTGTTCGCATTCCTCCTCCTCCCACTCCTGTTTCTCCTTGGCCTCCTCCTCCTCCTCCTCCTCCTCCTCCTCCTCCTCCTCCTCCTCTCCATCAGCATCAGCATCAGCATCATCACCATCAACAACATCATCCGCATCAGCATCATCATCATCATCATGGGCAGCAGCATCAGCACCATCATCATCATCATCATCATCATCATCATCGTCATTATCGTCATCATCATCTTCATCACCATCATCATCATCATCTTCATCTTCATCTTCATCGCCATCGCCATCACCACACCACCATCATCATTACCACCATCATCATCATCATCATCATCATCATCATCATCATCATCATCATCATCATCATCATCATCATCATCATCATCAATGATGATCCTCATCATCATCACCATCACCATCCCCTTCATCACCACCTCCATCTCCGTCAGCCTCCTCCTCTTCCCCCCTCACCATCATCATAAGATGCTGATGCCCTCTTCCCCCTCCTCTGCCTCTCCTTCTCTCTGGTGCATCGCTGGCTCCTCGCTTCGGGTGGCGCTGTGCTGACTTGCCGCTCGTTGGCTCCCTCTTGTCCCCCCGGGCGCTGCGGGAGGCAGTCGCCGGCTGGTTTGGGCGATGGCCACCGTGGCTTGATGGACTGGCCATCGATGCTTGATGGGCTGGTTGGGTTTTTTTGTCGCGGCCGCAGGCGAAGGCGCCGGCGGAGTCACAAGTCAGCTCGGGCTACGATCAGAACTAATTGTCCTAGCGCGCGCACAGGCGGCTGCAGGGCTACCGCCGGGGGACGCTGGGCTGCGCCGAGGGCTGAGGCTGCAGGAGCTGCCGGGAGCTTCCAGATGAGCCAGGCAAGCGCGCGGGCATCCCAGGGGCGAGACTTCCAGGAAGGATGAAGCTGGTTGGGGCTCGCGTGGCGTCAAAGATTTTCGGGTGCTTTTGTTGACGCTTCAAGCCCAGACACGTCCTCGGGCACAGCGCTGAGGGCTGCCTCGAGAGTTGATGACTGTCTGGAAGCCCTTTCTCTTGCCCGTTGTCTTGGACAGCTGCGCCGGCTCGTCGTAGATATTCTCGGTCTCCTTCTCCTGTTTCTCCGCTACGACGATGGCCTACGAACGCTTTTCGGAAGCCTTGTCGGGGACGAGGCCGTCCGACGCGATCGTCTTCATCTGATTGGCGTTAAAGGTTTTCATGAACTTGTGCGCGGCCACTGCGTACTCTATCTGCCTGCCCGCCTCCTTCGTGACCGAGCTCCCGAGGATGAGTTTCCTCTTCGTGCTGTGAGAGTGGTACTCGCCGACTTCGATCTCACTCGTCGCGCAGAAGCGCACCCTGCCGACCTCCCATTCGACCACGCTCCCGCGCGCGATCGCGCGGTCCAATTATTTTTCTTCTCTGCGGAGTTTTTCCACCATCCGATCTCTGGAGGTCCCTCGTATTTGGTAAATCCCGTTTTTTTCCTGTGCTGCTAGATATGTTTCTCGAAGAAAGGGGAATCCGCCTGACGCATGAACCGGCCACCTTTTTCACGAAGAAGGCGTTGACGAACTGGGTCTGCGTCGCCCTTTTCCCCAACGGGCGCTTCTGAGCATTATTCGTCATCTCCCTCACCTCATTCGGCAGGGTGTCCTCGAGTTCCGCGTAGCGGCGCATCTTGTACTGGTCGCGAGGCTAATTCAGGTAGTCGTCACCGTCACCACCACCCCACCGAGAGCAGCGGCGGGCCGCTTAAGAGTAGCAGCGGCTAGGCGGTTTAAAGGGGCACCGTTCGGGCGTTTCAAAGAGGTTGCGGTCTGGCGTTTCAAAGGGGCGCCCGCGGACGCACCGCCTCGTCGGTGCCCGAGCACTGTTCTTCCGCTACGTCACGTGCCTTGGGCCAGTCAGGAGCACCCGCCGTGCTGATGGGGCTTGTCGCGCCACCTCCTGCATATGATCCTCTCGCACGGCTTGCTTCCGTCATTTCAGGCCTACCACCCTTGCTTGGCAGGGGTCCAGGTCGCCGCCTCCTCAGGCCGAACCCCTCGCCCGGCAGGGGGTATAACTTCACTTCGTTGGTTCCAGAAGCCCGGTGATTTTGAAGACGAGTTTTGCCTACGATCCTCCTCCCGGAGCAGCGTTGAGGATGCCAGTGTTGCCGAGCATGGTGTCATTGCCGCCAGCTTGTTGTTACGCCTTTTTTTCCACTTCTGCGCGGATCTTAGGAGGAAAAGGAGGAAGAGCAGGAGGAGGAGAAGGAGAAGGAGGGGGAGGAGGAGGAGGAGGAGGAGGAGGAGGAGGAGGAGGAGGAGGAGGAGGAGGAGGGGAAGGGAATGTGGAGGGGGAGGGACATGACCAGCTCGCAACTTCTCAGAGCCCCCTCTGGACCCGACCAGAATCTGGTGGCTGACCTCGTCCTCGAACTTGGTTTGGTATGCCACAACCCTCCCCGCCCCTGTCAACTTCCACCCCACGGGCCCACGTTCAGTATACAAAATCACGCCCCATGGAGGGAATTATTTGTACGAAACCCACGGCCAGGACCCTCGCCCACCCCCCCAGGGTTACAGGGTCGCCGCGGCCATTCTGGCCGTGGGCCGCACGCAGCGTCCGAGAGTCGACCTGCGCGCTGATATCCGGAGGAGTGGCTGAAGAGTACCGCCGTCTGTCCATGTTGTTCCGCCGAGCTTTACGAACTGAACCATGGGGATGCTCAGCATCCATACAGTCGGGAACTTTGGGATATCATGCCGCGCCACCCGTTCTGGCCACCACGCTCCAGTGGGACACGCGATCCACACCCCGGCCCCCAGCGCCAACGCCCCGAGCCCTTCTCTGCGTCGCGCCGCGCGGAGATGAGCGACACGCTATCCACGTGTAAGGGACAGCGTGTCGCCGGAGATGCCGCGGCGACACGCTACTCAAAAGTTTCGGGCCTAGTCTCATGAGCTGAGCCACGGGGATGCTCAGCACCCAGACCTCCTACGGCCCAAAGCTGTTTTGTAGTCGCAAGCCCCTGGGGCTCTCGGCCCGCTCCCCGGGACCAGCCTCTGACCTTAAGTCGGGCCTGTCCCTCTCCAGGGGGAATATTCAAAGACAGGAAACAATGGTCTGGGGACTATTTTTTGTGTATCGTTTGGCATCTTTGAGTATGTTTTGATTTTTTGGTTTTTCGTCCAATCCCCCCGTAGCGGGACGGGCCCGACCTCACCCTGACCTCCCGAGTCGTTCCGTGGACGGCCCCTGCGCCCATGGGCGGCCACCGACCGGCCAGGATCATTGAGGCATTTGCAGCGCAGTGTCTCCGAAGGCCCCGGGAGGTCTGGGCAAAAAAAACGCAGGCCTTCGTCCCCACCTCTTGCCGCCGCAACGCTGCACGCCGGACGTTGAGAGTAGGTGTTCCTAGGTGCCCAGATTCCAAACCCTTTCGGGCGCTTTCTGACTTCGAGGGCAGAGTGGTGTCCGTCATCCCTCCACCTCAGTCGGAAGCCGGGCAAGGGCTGCTAAATCCGTTGCTGCTAAAACCGACCTCCGGGAAGTTGTCTTCGTCCTTCCGGGAAGAAGCCCGTTGACTGTTTCGCGTGCCGCGCCTCATTCCGGGAAGTTGTTTTTTCTTTCCGGGAGGGCCGTTTTAGCAGCCACGGTTTTAGCAGCCTTCGCCCAGCTTCCGATTCAGGGTGCGGGGGGAAGCCCAACCTACTTCCAACGCCTTCCTGCGTCATGTTTCTGCCCGCTCCTTTCAACCGACGGGTGCGCAGCACTGCCTCGGGATGCCGGGCCGCGCGCAGCGCGCAGGCTCGCGGGCACTCGGCGAGCGCAGCTGCCTCGGTACGACGGAGCGGGTTGCGGGGGTAGGGAGGAGCAAAAGGAGGGAGAGATGGGGGGTGGAGTGGATTCAACGGCATCCTCGAGGGCGTGAAGTTATTCGTGCTTCGCAGCTCGGCTCCGATTCCTCCTCATCCTCCTCTTCTCCCCTGGTAGGCGGCGCGAGGGCGCGAAGTTATTTGCACTTCGCGCTTCGCGCAGCGCGAAGCGCGAAGTTGGGAGCCCTTGTGGAGTGGATTAGGGGCTGAAAGACTTCTGGCCTCCTAGATACGGTCGGAATAGATGGGTTCGGGGGATCGCGCCGCATCGCCGATGCCATTGGCGATGCATCGGCGATGCGGCTCGATGTGTGGGGACCAATCTCCTCTACGCCGACGTCGCCAATACATCGCCGATGTATCGGCGATGCGGCGAGATCCTCCGACCCCATCTACTCTGTCCCCATCTAGGAATCTAGGAGGCCTCTGAAGACGGCAAGGGGAGAGTGGGGGCAGATGCACATTGTTGTGGCTCCCCGAAATCACCGCCGTCATCTTCTTGGCGGCCATCATATGCTTCAGGTGCGCCAAGGAATCCTACAGCGCCAAGTCAAGGGAGCAGCTCCCTGGGTCTGCGATCGTGGCCGTCACTCAGTTCCTCGTCAGCATCACCCACACCGGGAAATCGTGGCAGGGGTTCATGATCCTCGCCGCCAAAGTTATCGGTGTGACGGTCGCGGGGTGCCTTCTCCTCCGTCCAGCTCCGTTTCCCTCTCCGTTTCCCCGTCCCTCCGTCCTCCATCATTCTTCCTTCCAAATAACCCCCCTGTCGCACCACGGGCGTTTCGCTAGAGACTTCCCTTGCAAGGTGCGTTGCTGAAGCTTGGAAGCTCCAACGCCCATCCATATGGAAGGCAGGCCAGCCCCGACTTTCTTCTCACCGCCCACCAAACCACCCCAACCCAGCCCGAAGGCACCGATTTGCCCTCCAGCTCCAGTGTGGGGGGGGGGTCGGGGAACATTCAAATCTATATATATATATATATATATATATATGTATATGTATATGAAGCCCGTACCCCCCCAACCCGAAATTCGAGCGAAATTTGGGCCTTGGAATTGGGTTGGGGTGGTCTGGGCCACCGCTCAGACTCCGAGCCTCGTCAGGCACGACACGTGGCACGACTGTGATCAGCCTTGGCTCATACACGCACAGCGCTGCGCATGCTTGCAGGGTGCTTGGCGCGGAGCTTCGGAGGCCTGCCGGCGCTCTGCGCCTCCTATTCCATGCTCCTGCCCGGTGCTCCACGAAGGGAGGACAAACTACCGACCTTTCCCTGTTCGACCGGGAGTTTGAGAAAGGACGTGCACGTACACGAATCCACGTTGGTTTCGAGAGGACGCATTGCACGAACGTTTGTGTCACGTGGCCAGTCTCGCGGATGTTGGGGCCGTGTCCATGTACGTTGTTGGGCGCGTACGTCTTGTGTTTGCTCCTTAATGTCAGCTTGTGTTTAACAAATGATTGCCCCCCCCGGGGGCTCATGAATAGACCCCGCGGGGCGCTTTTTTTTGTTGTCACGCGCTCCACGGCTCGGAGAGCTCGGGTAACCACCGCGCCGCGGATGATGGCAAACGCCATGAACGAGGAGGAGGAGGAGGAGGAGGAGGAGGAGGAGGAGGGGGAGTAGAAGGAGGAGGAGGAGGAGGGGGAGGAGGAGGAGGAGGAGGAGGACGAGGAGGAGGAGGAGGAGGAGGAGAAGGAGGAGGACGAAGACGAGGACGAGGAGGTGGAGGAGGACGAGGAGGAGGACGAGGAGTTTCCATCGTGGCGGCGGAAGTCCGGTTCGACTGCGGAACTGAGAAATAACGCGGCGGTGGCGGAGCCGACGGTCCCTGTCTCTGCAGTATGCGTTTGGAGGGCGGGTGGTTTTCAAATGAGGCTCTCGTCTCAGTGCGGCGCGCACTCGCCTTAAGAACTTGGAACAATTGCAATGGTGGGGGGCCGTCGGTTGTCAAAACAATTTTTCAGTTGGCGCCGTGGCGCCTTGCATTTTCGTGTTCAGCAGTGATAAGGACAGAAACCTGGTGGTTTTCCGTGTGGGGCTTCCGCCTCTTTTTCGATTTGCGCCGCGCACGCAGTCGTCCGCAAGTTTGTGGCAGCTACAACTATGCAGGGCTGGTGGTTTTCAAAATGTGGCTCTAGCTTGAGAGCTGATGTTAACAGTTCGATTGATGGAGGGCCACCCCTTATCAAGAAGGACTTCTCGTGCGAGACGTCCGCGAAATTTGTGGCTTGTACAGGGAAGCGCGCAACGGCTACACGGGCTGAGGGCAACTCATGTTCAACTTGGAGTGATCGCTGGAGACACTGCGCTTCAACATCTGATATGTTTTCCGTTTTGTTTCAATAAAAAAGGGAGGGTACGTTTTTTTCTGCGGAAAGAGGTTCTGCTTGAGTTGCAGGTCTACGGGGCGTTTGTCGTTCAAGGGGAGACATGAGCGGCGCTTTAGGGACGGGACGGTATATGGCAACATCGTTGTTACACGAGTTGACCGCGGTTCTCCGCCTCCTCCTCCTCCTCCTTCTCCTCCTCTCTCCTTCTCCTCCTCCTCCTCCTCCTCCCCTCCTCTTCCCGGTCCGCCCCCTCCGCTTCCTCGAACACAGACAACAATTTGATGATTCGGAGGTCCGTTCGGATCTCGTAGATTTGCGCTGGACCCCCCTCCATTTGCGCGTTTTGAATGATGTTCCCAATCATTACGCCAGGTTGCGGGGTAGCCGAGGTTTTTTTAAACGAGCACGTCTTGGATGATGACGGTCCTGTTCTCGCTGGGCGCTTGCAGCGGCAGCCCGCGGCAAGTTTCAGATTTGGCCTCTGTCATTTCCAGGACAGCTCCGTCGGGCAACCCCGAGTCCCTCGAACTAGAGTCTTACAGTCAACCCGCACAGTAAGGCTGGGTAACCTTCCCAAGGGTACCCATTGCATCCTTGCTTCCTCGGCCCCTCCTTGGCCGCCTTCGTGGACCGCGCCCAGCTCGAGAAGCCCCCCCCCGGGCGTCCCAGGCCCTTGCATCCTTTTCGCGCCTCCTTATGGCACGGGGCCAACTGCACGGCTCCCCGACCTGCGGTGCTGGGTCCTCGCTCCGAGCCCGCAGCGCCGCGCTCCACGCCCGCCCGCGGCCCCCCCCCCTCCCCGCCGCCTCGGACCGCCGTGCGTCCTCGTGCGGCACGCCCCTCTCACGCACGCTCCCGGGGCCCACGGGGAGCTCCGCCGAAGGGCCCCGGTGGCAGCGCCCTCGTGCGGACTCGGGTCCATTCTGGTACGTGGCAGCAGCGCCCGCATGCGGAGGGTCTGAAGCCCAGTTCAGCACACGCCTCACGCGTCCCGTGGCCCCATGTGGGGTTTCATCGAAGGTTCCAGTGGCAGCAGCGCTGGCATGCGGGCTCGGGCCCATTGTGGCACACCTGCCCATCACACGGTTCGTGGCCCCATAAGGAGCTCCATCGAAGGCCCCAGAGGCAGCGCTCGCATGCGGACCTGTGTTCATTTTAGCACACGCCTCACACGCCCTGTGGCCTCATAGGGAGCTCCACCGAATGCCCCAGTCGCAGCGCCCGCTTGCGGATTCGGGTTCACTTCGGCACATCCCTCACAGATGTCGTGGCCACAGGGAGCTCCACCGAAGGCCCCAGTGGCAGCAGCGCCCGCAAACGGACTCGGGCCCATTTTGGCCCACCCATCACACGATTCGTGGCCCCATAAGGAGCTCCATCAAAGGTCTCAGTTGCAGCGCCCGCATGCGGACCTGGGTCCGGCACACGCCTCATACTTCCCGTGGCCCCATCTGGGATTCCATCGAAGGCCCAGTGTCAGCGCCCGCATGCGGACTCGGGTCCACTTGGGCGTAGCACACGTTTCGTGGCCCCGTGGGATAGGAAGCTCCATCGAAGGCCCCAGTGGCAGCGCCCGCGTGCGGACTTGGGTCATTGTGACACACGCACGTACACAATCACGCGCGCGCACGCACGCACGTACGCACGCACGCACGCAAGCACGCGCGCGCACACACGCGCATACACACGCACACTTGAGCGGTAGCGGCCTCGCGCGCGGCGACGAGGCAGAGTAAGTCCAAGCAAGCAGGCAGCTCAGGCCATAGACATCCGCGCGTGGATGGCGAGGGGGGAGAGCGCTACCCACCACGGGACGTCCCACGCGAGGACGAAGCGAGGCGCTGGCATGAGGAACATGGCCAACCGGGCATGGTTGGTGGGGAGGCGAGGGCATCCGCGCAAGCGGACGTCCCGCCTGAGTGGCACGCCGCGTGGAGCCGCGGTGTAGCATGGGGGGCCACCACGCGGGGGCCAGGGAGGCAAGAGGGGCAAAGAGGGCAGGCGGGCAGGCAGAGCCCTGGGGCACTGCTCGCGAAGTGCGGGCCGTTCGAGAGAAGCCGGAGCGCCAGATGGGCCAGGGGCGGACCCAGGCCGCACGCACACGTACACACGCACACACACTCCACACTTGCACCATGCACACATATACACGCACCTATACACACACACCTACACACCCGCACGCCCACACACCCACCCACCCACCCACACACCCACACACCCACACACCCACGCACGCATGGACACACAGACACCCACACACAACACACACAGCACACACAAACCACAACACGCACAAACACACACGGCTCACACATCACATACAAAGCACACAACGCGCAACATGTTTACACATACACGCATACACACACACGCACGCACGCACGCACGCACACACACACACACACACACACGCACACACACACACACGCACATACACGTACCCACTACACGTGCACACACCCACACACACACACATTTTTGGGCGGTCGCGGCCTCGCGTGCAGCGACCATGTGGAGCAGACAAACACACACGCACACACACACACACGCACACATACACACACACGCACGCCCGCACCCACAGCCACACCCGCGCACATGCACACGCAAACGCGCGTGCGCGCACGTACCCACGCACGCACGCACAGACACTCACACCAACTCACCAACACAAGACACAACATGCAACACACAAGCAAACACAAACACATACAAACCCACACACACACAAGCACATACATACACACAAACACACAAACACACAGACACACACACGCGCACACATTGGAGGCGATTGCGGCCTCGCGCGCAGCGTCGAGGCGGAGAAAGTCACCGAATGGGCGGGCGCGCGCGCGCGGGGGGGCGGTCAGAGCGTATGGGGCCCATCTTGGGTCGACTAGCCATACACACCCGGTATGGGCAGTGAGGGTGCAATGGGCAGAAAGAACAGAGCCCGGGCAGTCGAGGGGCAGTACGACGAGCGACGAGAACAAAAGGCGGTCGAGGCCGAGGCGGCGCACGAAGTTGCAACGGGGTGGGAGGCGAAGCAGCGGGCAAGAGAGAGCCGCCCGCGTCAGCGCAGGCGGCTGAGGCGGGCGCGCGCAGGGCGTGGAGAGGGAGGGCACAAGGAGAACAGCACAGCGCAGGCACACCATTCAAGGAGATGGAGGCAAGGCCCCATACAGAGGAGGGGCCGAGGTGGACAGCGGCAGGAGCGTCGGGGCAATCCGCCCCCCCCTCCCCAGGACACACACACATGCACGCACGCACGCTCGCACACGCACACGACGCACACGACGCACACGACGCGCACGACGCGCACGCAGACGGACACCACGCACACCAAGCACACGACGCACACGACGCGCACGCACACGCACACGCAACGCACACGCGCGCGCACATACACGTGCATACCTGCATATGTACACACATGTACACATACATGTGCACATACATGCATGCATGCATACACACATACATACATGACACATCCATCCATCCATCCATCCATCCATCCAAACATACATACCTACATACATACATACATACATACATACATACATATACCCATATACCTATATACATGCATGCATGCATACATGCAAGCATGTATGCAAACATACATACACATGCACAGATGTACTCATGCTCACACCCATACATACATTCATGCATCCACACATACGTACGTACGTACATACATGCATACATACGTACATACATACGTATCCACACATATCAATACATACGTACGTACATGCATGTACATATCCACACATATACATACGCACACACACATACATCCATCCATATATCCATGCATCCACACATACAGTCATGCATACATACACACATACAATTACACATACATGCACGCATGCATGGCTTCAAACATATAGTCATACATGTTTTTTATGCATCCATCCATACATACATACATACGCAGCGCACAACGCACAACACATATCGCGCACATAATACATACACAACACAACACAACACATGACGCACACAAGCAACAACGCTACATTCAACACTCAACACACGACTCGCATCACACCACACACACAACACAACACAGAAACACAACACACAACACAGACACAATCCACACCGCACACATCATTCATACGCTTCGTGTCCCTTTCGGGGGCTCCACCGAAGGCCCCAGTGGCAGCTCCCGCATGCGGACTTGTGTCCATTGTAGCACACCCCTGACACGCTTCGTGGCTCCACAGGGAGCTTCATCGAAGGCCCCCGTGGCAGCGCCTGCATGCGGACTTGGGTCTATTTGGGCACATCCATCACACGTCCTGTGGCCCCTCAGGGGGGAGCCCACCGAATGCCCAGTGTCGGTGCCCGCACGCGGACACGAGCCCATCTCGGCACAACCCCCAAACGTTTTGTGGCCCCGTAGAGATGTTTGCGATCTCCCCGATGGCGCACCGCAGCTCACCGAGGTCCATTTTGAGTCTCACGCCACGGCCGACCCGCGGCCGCGGCAGCTCACCCGTGCTCGACCGCCCTTCTCCTGACCAGCTCCTCGCGGAAGCGGCTCTTGAACGCAAGGTCGTCATCGCCGTCATCGGGGTCCTCGCGCTCCCACGGCGGGACAGTCGCCTTGACCGCCGAGTTGACCGTTCTCTCGATCTCCAGCTCGACCTTCCTCCTGATGGGTTTGTCGATGCCGTCCTCCATGGGATCCGTCAGCACGTCAACCGCCACAGCTAGAGCCGCCGCCACCACACCTGCCGCCGATGCTCCAGCCGCCGTAACTGCCAACAGACCCCCAGCCTCCGATGCCCCAGCCGCCGTTCGGCCCCCAACGGCCGCCCTGCAGGCATCGATCTCATTCACACCGAGGCCCTGGAGCTCCGCGGGGTCGAAGCCCCTCTGGTCCCCCGCGTCAGCGATGTCGAAGACTTCGGCTCTGGTGGCGCTGTAGCGGTCATGCACGCCCTCCAGCCCCCCGATGAAGCTCTCGAGTACCTCCACGTCCGCAGTGTCGAGGTGCTCGCGCTCGGCGTCGGTGGTGCTGCCGAAGCCGTGCTCGCCTTCCAGCTCCGTCTCTTCGCAGAGGGAGGTGGAGCCAGCACCGCTGGCCCCCGCGATGCCCTCGACGCCGTAGTGCCACTCCGTTTTGCTGCACTCCTCGGTGCCCCTGCCGTCCCGCCACGCCAGCACGCTCTGCAGGAGGCGCTCCACCTCGCCCCCTGGGTGCCGGAGCAGTGCACTGGCCGCGTCCAACTCGCGGCACCTCCGCTCCAGCAAAGGCGGGAGACGCCGCCCCCGCTCCCGGAGCCTCCTGAGGCTTGCCGCCAGCGTAGGGCCACCCAAGACGGCCACCATTTCGGCCGCCGCGCCCAGCAGCTCCTGCGCGCGCTCGCCCAGGGCGGGGCGGGCCGCGCCGGCTGCCGACCGCGCCTGCTGGTGTCCAGCTGCAGCCGTCTCCTGCACCTTCCTCGCCGCCGAGTCCACCTACGCCTGCAGGCGCAGCATCAGCTCGGCGGCTTCACCGACCGATGCACCGGTGACGAGCTTGGGGCCATGGCGCACCGAGAGGCCGCCACGCCCGCCTCGCCCCATCGCACCGCCGGGAGGGTGGCCGCGCGCACCCGGAGGGCACGGCGCAGCTGCGGCGCTCCCGAGAGCGCCTCCGCACGAGCCACAATGGCTACGGATGGCCCCGTAGAGAGCTCCACGGAAGGCCCCAGTGGCAGCGCCAGCATGTGGACTCGAGTCCATTTTGGCACACCGCTGACACGCTTCGTTGCCCCTCAGGGAATTCCACCGAAGGCCCAAGTGGCGGCACCCGCATGGCTCGAGGTGCATCAATAGTGTGGTGCGCTGCTCAGAACGAGAGGCCACACTGTACGCCACTCGCAGTTGGATCATTCTCTTCACTGTATGTCCTGCCTCGCGGCACTCGCAGTTGCGTGTGGTTGTGGCCTTCGCCAGGCTAATTCTTTGGTGTTCACTCTCCGGCTCCCCGTCCTCCCTGTTCTCGCCTCTTCACCCCTCTGTTTCTGAAGGTGCAGCCATCCTCTCTCGGGGCCACTGCACCCTCGGGGGATCAATCCAGAGCTTGTAGAGCAAAGTCAAAGAGATCACGGAGTACGCGCGCACGAGGAGAACCCTCTGGGGGTCAGGCACTAGAGCCTGTAGAGTAGAGTAGAGTAGAGTAGAGTAGAGTAGAGTAGAGTAGAGTAGAGTAGAGTAAGAGAGATCACGAGGTACGCGCGCGCGAGGAAAACCCTCTAGGGGAGGCAGCCCTCCGCGGCCCCCAGGGGCGGGGGGGAGGGGAAGGGGATGGACCGCGAAGCTGCGAAGACACTGCGACGAACCTGAAGGGGAGGGGGGGGGGGGGGAGCGGGCCGAGGTGGTGGCTGGCATGCAAGGGTGGCGGCGGGCAGCTGGCCAGCAGAGGTGCAAGAGCTGGTGGCGCAAGCGCGCCCGCGGCCGCACTTGCCGCGCGTGGGTTGGCGTAAGGTTACGTTGGGCGTGTCCCTCTACAGGAGGAATATCTTCTGCCGCCGCGCGTCGTTGCGACAGAATCGTTGCATTTCTGGGCGCCGGGCGCCGTTACGACAGAATCGCAGTTTTTCTGTCCGCCGCAGGCTGTCTCTGCCGCGTATCGCCACAGAGTGCACGGGTTACTCGTGAGATATTGCGGTCGTCCCCGCCCTCATGCCCCTCCTTCTTCTCAAGAAAACAAGCCAAACATAGTTTGAGGACGAGTTTTTGACTATGTTTGATTATTTTTCGGCTACTTCTCATGTTTCGTCCAGACTCCGCCTGTAGGAGGAATACTGGAAAAAATAGTCACACATAGTTTGGGGACGAGTTTTGACTATGCTTGATTATTTTTCGGCTGTTTCTCATGTTTCGCCCAGACTCCGCCTGTAGGAGGACACGCCCGAGCTGAGCCTAAGGGCCTCTGCCTCCACCAGCGGGCTGGCTCCCCGGAAGGCGGCCCCCGGTCCCACCCCAGGAGGGTGCCCTCGCCCGCCGAGGCGGGCGCAGGGCACCTCGTGGCGACACGGAGTGCTTCCCATGTTTGTTGGGATGAGGTCGAGCAAGTCGTTTGAACTCCCCGCGCCCCCTCCTCCCCCTCCTCCCCCTCCTCCCCCTCCTCCTCCCCCTCCAACTCCCCTTCCTCCTCCTCCCCCTCCTCCTCCTCCTCCTCCTCCTCCTCCTCCTCCTCCTCCTCCTCCTCTCCTCCCCTCCTCCTCCTCCTCCCTCCCCCTCCTCCTCCTCCCCTCCTCCTCCCCCTCCCTCCTCCTCCTCCTCCTCCTCCTCCTCCTCCTCCTCCTCCTCCTCCTCCTCCTCCTCCTCCTCCGCCTCACTCGCCCCAAGGGTCCGGCGATCGCAGACGTTGACCCAGGGGGCGTGGACTAGCGACGGGCCCCGTTTCCAGGTGAGGTCGCGGACTTCCTCCGAGGCGGGAAGTTATCCATAACCACCGCCTGGGGGGTCGATCTTCGCTTCGCGGACCTCCACAGGCGGTGGATATGGATATTTTCAGGCCCCCGGGGGCCAAAGTATGTCCATATCCACCGCCCGCCGGGACACCAGGACGTCGGTTCCCAGGCGGTGGATATGGATAGATTCCCGCCTCGCACTTCCGCCGCTGAGCGAGGCGGCACCAGCGGCATTTTGGGAGGGCACCTCCCACGATCCATGAATTTGGCGACCGCGCGCCAAATCCATGGATTTGGCGACCGCGCGGTCCATGTTTGCGCGCCCCCGAGGAAGGCCGCTCGATCCGCTCAGGGATGCCCACCCCGGGAGGGGAGGTTTGCGCCCCCCTGTGGTGTCGGCAGGAGGTGGAGTCGGCCGCCCCCCCCCCCGCCCTGCCCTGTACCAGTGCCTCGGGGTAGCGGCGGCGAAGTTGCAAAGGTGGGCTGAGGGAGGACTCGGTCTTCCTCCTCTTCCACCCATTCGCTTTTACATCACATCACAACAGGCACGCGGACCCTTTCAATTCATGTGTTTCCTGACTACAGGGTTCAGCCATCCTTAAGGCTGTCCAATCTGCTAGTATCCTCCTCCTCGCTCTCCCCGCTCTCCTCCTCCTCCTCGTCTTCCTCATCCTTGTCCTCCTCCTCACACTTCGCTCGAGGTCTACGTGGCGCAGGCCGCGCTCTTCTGGTACGCCCCGCTGTCGGCCCCTCTCTCCGTGTGCTCCGCCATCGGGGTCGTCTTCAGCGCGGGCGGGATCATATACTTCTGCCGAGACCCGTCATGGATCGTGGGCGTCCTCTCGGAGGAGGGCCAGTCGAGACAACGGCTATACCGCCTCACGTTTTCCGTCCTTCTGGAGCCTCCTGGCGGCTGATCGTCGCCATAATTGGATCCGCCTGGCAAAACGGGCCAGTATGCGCCCTGGGAGTGGTCTGGGGACGGGTCTTGAGCGGACTTGGGTCGGGCGGGAGAGCCGCTGTTGTCTCAATTTGCCCTCACCCGATCAAATGATCCAGACCCCCTCGCGCCATGAAATTTAGCGCGTCGGAAGAGATGTTTCTCCCTTCGGCATCCTGGGGCCCTTACTCGGCCCTAGGGCTGTCAAGAAACGACTCAGGATCATCCCTGGGAAACGGTGGGGTCTTCTGGGGGGGCAAGTTGTGCAAAAGCACGGCGTGGAAGGTGCGGGTCTGGGGGATAAGAAGGTTTGGTGGGGATCTTTGTTCCCTACCTAGGCTCTGCCTAGAAGGGTTCTTACTCTGTTAGCTAAAGGGGCCGGGCAATGCTAATCGCCCCGGGCGGTTCCCCCAGTCCCCGCCCCGCGGTTCCCCCAGTCCCCTGGGAGCTTTAGCCTTAGCTTTAGCTTTAGCTTAGCTTTAGCTTTAGCTTTCGCTTTAGCTTTAGCTTTAGCTTAGCTTAGCTTTAGCTTAGTGTTAGCTTAGCTTTAGCTTAGCGTTAGCTTAGCTTTAGCTTAGCTTCAGCTTAGTGTTAGCTTAGCTTTAGCTTAGCTTTAACTTAGCTTTAGCTTAGCTTCAGCTTAGTGTTATCTTAGCTTTGGCTTAGTTTTAGCTTAGTGTTAGTCTAGCCTTAGCTTAGCTTTAGCTTAGCTTTAGCTTAGCTTTAGCTTAGATTCAGCTTAGTGTTAGCTTAGTGTTAGCTTAGCTTTAGCTTAGCTTTAGCTTAGCTTCAGCTTAGCTTCAGCTTAGCTTTAGCTGAGCTTTAGCTTAGCTTTAGCTTAGCTTCAGCTTAGCTTTAGCTTAGCGTTAGCTTAGCTTTAGCTTAGCTTTAGCTTAGCTTCAGAGTAGCTTCATGTTAGCTTCAGATTAGCTTCAGCTTTAGCTTCAGCTTAGCTTTAGCTTAGCTTTAGCTTAGCTTTAGCTTAGCGTTAGCTTAGCTTTAGCTTAGCTCTAGCTTAGCGTTGGCTTTGTTTTAGCTTAATGTTAGCTTAGCTTTAGCTTAGCTTTAGCTTAGCTTTAGCTTAGCTTTAGCTTAGCGTTCGCTTAGCTTTAGCTTAGCTTCAGCTTAGCTTTAGCTTAGCTTTAGCTTAGCTTCAGCTTAGTGTTAGCTTAGCTTTAGCTTAGCTTTAGCTTAGCTTCAGCTTATCGATCAGCTTAGTGTTAGCTTAGCTTTAGCTTATTGTTAGCTTAGCTTTAGCTTAGCTTTAGCTTAGCTTAAGATTAGCTGTAGCTTAGCTTTAGCTTAGCTTTAGCTTTAGCTTAGCTGTAGCTTAGCTGTAGCTTAGCTTTAGCTTAGCTTTAGCTTAGCTTTAGCTTTGATTTAGCTTAGCTTTAGCTTAGCTCCAGATTAGCTTTAGCTTTAGCTTTAGCTTAGCTTTAGCTTAGCTTTAGCTTGGCTTTAGCTTAGCTTTAGCTTAGCTTTAGTTTAGCTTCAGCTTAGCTTTAACTTAGTGTTAGCTTAGTCTTAGCTTAGCCTTAGCTTAGCCTTGGCTTAGCTTCAGCTTAGCTTCAGCTTAGCTTTATATTAGCTTTAGCTTAGCTTTAGCTTAGCTTTAGCTTAGCTTTAGCTTTAGCTTAGCTTTAGCTTAGCTTTACTGTTACTACTAATGCTGCTTTCCTAGGGGCTCCAACTCCTAGGTAAGGTCGCACTGGGATAATTTTTCCGCACTTGGCACGGCTGGGTTCGCCCGGAGATCTCCCAGTCGGGGCCACGGGCGGCCCGATCTTACGTTGCTATGTTAAGCCATTGGTGGGGCGTGTTGTGCTTCTGCGACGTTGCCGCCTCGTGGGCACCTCGTGGGCGCCCCGCGCTTGGCGGGGGGATGTGCTGGGTCTTCACCGCGCTGCCGCCCATGCAGCCTCGGTGGCCGCCTGGTGGGCGCCCCTATGCCGCCGCGCTGCCGCCCCGCGCTCTTGGGGGGCACGCTGGGTGTTCGCCACGCTGCCGCCCGTGCCGCCTCGTGGGAGACTCGCGGGCGCCCCGCGTTTAGGGATGTGTGCGTGTTGGGTGTCTGCTACGCTGTTGCGTTCGCGCCGCCTCGTGGGCGCCTCGTGGGTGCACCACAGCTCACACCACCACAGCGTGCCCCACATAGCCTACACCACAGAGCATACGTCGTACAGCCAACATCACACAGCTCACCCCACACAGCCTACGCCACATTGCACACACCGCACAGCTGACACGACATACGTTATTATTCACAGCTTACACATGCATCTCACCTCATAGCGTTACTACACAGATGGCACCACATCTTAGAACACATGTCCATATCCATAGTTCGCAACATATAGCTTTCACCTCATAGCCTATGCGTCAATGCTTACACCGTAGAGTATTCATCTCCATAGACTTCGCCTCCATAGCTCACACGATGAAACTCACACGACATAGCTTGCGCCAGATTGCTCGCACCGCATAGCTATCACCCCTGCAGTGCGCTGCGACAACTCACTCTTTGGGCCCTCGCTGGCTAATACACGCACACACACACACACACGCACGCGCACACGCATACGCACACGCACACGCACACGTACAAGCACACGCATCTGCATTCGCACGCGCACGCCTGTGCACGCGCATTCACACCCACACGCACAAGCACACGCATGCGTACAAGCTCACGCACGCGCACACGCACGCGCACACGCACGCGCACGCACACACGCACACGCACACGCACACACGCGCGCACACGCGCACACACAAGTATGCTCACACACACGCGCACACACATACACACACACGCGCGTGCGCACACGCACACACACGGACGCGCACGCACACACGCACACACGCTCACACGCTCACACGCACACACGCACACATTCACACGCACACACGCACACATGCACACACGCACACACGCGCACGCGCACATGCGCACACGCGCACACGCGCACACGCGCACTTTGAATTCGGCGGTGCATATCAGCCTCAGCTGCGGTCGGCAGGTGGAGGTGCCAATTGCCAACGGACTACTCGATTGCGCCATGATGAAAGATTCCAGCCACGGCCATGCAGCTTGGTACTGGACAAAGAGAGGCGCTGTAAAGCCAAGATGTAGCGGCCAACGAACCTACGGAGCGAAAGCTCAGTGCAAGAAGTTGAGGCGCAACCAGAAGTCAGATGCACGCGCACACGCGCATACGGGCACACGCGCACACGGGCACACGCGCACACGCGCACACGTGCACACGCGCACATGCGCACACACGCGCACACGCACACACACACACACACCACGCATCTAGTGGCTTTCGGCCCATCCCGCAGCCGTGCATTAGGTCGGTGGCCTCTTGGATGCTTGTGAGGATTTCTTGTGGAGCCTCTCGGACGCCTCTTGGAGGCCGTTTCGGGGATGTGTTGGGGTGTCTTGGAGGCCTCTTGGGGTCTGATTTGCTGCTTTCGGCCTCTTTGGGGGCCTCTTGTGGCCTCTTGGGCGCACCTCAGGGGCTTGAGGGCGGATCTTGGGGCCGTCTTGGGGAGGATGGCTCAAAATGTCACTTCGTGTTTCCCATCTTGGGCAACCCTTTTGTGCCGTCCTGGAGGCCTCTTGGGCTCCTCTCGGGAGCTCGTGGGCCGTTCTGGGGCGATCTTGGGCGCCTCTTGGGCCGTCTTGGATGCTCCGAAGACCGAAAACGCGGTGAGGCGAACATCGTACAGTCGGTCCGGATTAGTAGGTCGACCTTGCCAGATCAAGGGTACCCGTGTGTCCTGTGTCTCGCGACCCGTGCATCCTGCATTCCTGTGGCAATGTGGACCTCGGACTCTCGGAAGGGTCTTGTGTCCTCTCGCGTATCCTGCCCAATGTTGTCCGACTGTGCAACAGCCAGCGGATTGTGACGAGTTCGTCCGCGTGGGGCCGCCCTCCAAGGCCTCCAAGACGGCCCCAGAGGCGCCCAGGAGGGCTCCAAGACGCCCCCCTGGGGCCATCCGACGCCATGTTGGACACGCGACAACAACCAAAAGGGGAAGGCCTGGGAATGAGGCTAGGGGGAGCGCAGTTTTGCATGTTGACTTGTTTTAGGGATTATTGGGTATTGAAGCGGTCAAAGATGATCACGAAAAGCTGTGCGTGTGTCCCGAACACCGCGCTCGTGGCCTCTCGAAGAATCACGCCTGGACCTCCCGAGAGCGCCCCGGAACGCCCAGAACTCTGGGCTGTGGGCCCCTTTCGAGAATATTTGCAGAATTCAGTGCAATCGAAGAGGGGCCCTGCGCGCCCTGGCTTCGCTTCTAGCGGGGCACGTTTTTTTGATTGTTTCGCCCTGGCCGCTGCTGGCTAGCCTAGCCGCAGTGGCATCTTGGCTTTCTGTCCAGGGCTACGCGCAACGCGCGCGCCGCCAGAGGAAAGGCCACGGGCGTTTGGCCCAGCACGCCTGCCTCTTGGCAGCCTTCACCTGAGGACACTTCAACTCGTGCCTCAGGGATCGGTGGCAGATATGTATGAACAAACATATGTGTGTGCATCTGCGCGCATGCAGAGATACTTGGATCAGCGTACGGTCGGATTGGTGCATGGACGGATGGGTGTATCGATGCATACGCGTACGTTTGTAGGACAGCTGGAGCTTTCCAGAACCTGACCGCGCGGCGAACGGTTTTTCAAATGCCACGTATCTACACGCACGTGTAGACGTATGTGTAGCTATACATGGAAAGCTGCGGGTGTCCTCCTGCTCCTGAGCCTGCTTCTCTCCCTCATCCTTCCTGGTGATCCACATCGTCGTACTCCTTCTGGTGCTCACCTTCCTCCCGCTCTTCCTCCTCCTCCTCCGTACAGAAGCTTCCTTTCCCGATTACGTAGCAAGGGATGGGCTCAATCCTGCAACTGTCCAGTCGGCGGATTGACACGGATTCAGCGCAATGGGGAAGGATTGGTGGTAGGGGTAGGACGTCAGATGTGGTGCGATCGCGCCCAGCTCGTCCCTCCCCTCGCCCGTTCCTGCATCGCGCGTGCACCGTGTGCGCCTGGTCCTTCTTGTCTCGGGGCGCAGGTATTGGGGCTGAGCCATGCCAGGTGTCAGCCAATCCCCCTTCCGATCCCTTCTGGCTGACTCGCATTGGGGAGCCACGCGGCTGTGGTCCCCTCCTCCCCTCCCCTCGCTGACCCGGGTGTTGGAGCTATTCCGTGGCTGGCCCAGGGCCGCCACGTGTCCCTGGCCGGCTCGGGCCAGCGCTGACCCGGTGCCGCGCGTCACCGACCTGGGGGCGAGGCGGAGGAATGTCGTGCCTATCCCGGCTGTCGGTGACGGATGAGCAGGATGATGAGGAGGAGGAGGAGGAGGAGGGGGAGAAGGAGGAGGAGGGGGAGGGGGAGGAGGAGGAGGAGGAGGAGGGGGAGGAGGGGGAGGAAGGAACGACTCGGACACGCAGCGCGGCGGTGGGTGAGCGTGCGGCGTATACGATGCTGTGGCCCTCCAGGCTCGACGGCGTCGTGCAGCCGGAGAACCAGGTGGGGCGGCAGACGACCAGCAAACCCGGCTCCCGGACCCCCCTCCAGCCGTATGTCACCACCCACCAAACCACCCCAACCCAACCCGAAGGCCCCAATTTATCCTCGATTTCCAGTGGGGGGGGGTCTTGGAACATCGAGAAAACACATGTGGAACCCGTACCCCCCCCAGCCCGAAATTCGGGTCTTTGGGTTGGGTTGGGGTGGTCTGGTAGGTAGTCAGTCTGGGAGATGCATTCACTCCCCGGGCTGCCAACGGCGAGTGGCTCTACGAGCCGGCGCGCGAGATCTCCCATCCGCACGGCCGTCGGCGGCCTTTGTCGACCAGCAGTGGTGCTGGGCGGCCTTGGGCAATGGTCAGCGAACAATGGCGGCCTTATTGGCCTTCTGTGGCCCACAGGGGCGCCCGAGCGACCGCGTAGGGTCAGATGTGTTGGAGGCCTACGTGATTCGGCGTCCTCCCGAGGGTGGAATTCTGATCAAACAGTGTAGTCATGCTTGGGTGCATCTGGGAGGGCAGAAGGTGGAGACCGAGGATTATCGATATGATGCGTAGGAGGAAGAGGAGGATGATCGGATGAGGTGGAGGAGGGGCAGGGGGAGACAGGTGAGGGGAAACGGATACGGATACGGATGAGTCCGTGAAAGAGCTCCTCATGAGAGTTGCTACGGGGGGGGTGCGGGCAACCGCTGTGGCCTGCAGACCAGCGTAGGCTCGCTGACGGGCCAGAGGCCTACAAGTCTCGCGATGGGAAAGTGGGGCAGGAAGCTGAAGTCCTGACACTGGACGTCCTTGGAACAGATGGGGACACCGGACGTCCTTCAACGAGAGCCCTCACTCCCCAGCTGTCACTGCTAATCGGCCACGCGCAGAGGGAGGTAGGGATAGGGGGTAAGGCTTCTTAGAAGCACCCCTCTTGTTAGAAGATTTGGGCGCGCCCCCTCCAAGAAGCTTGTGGTTATTTCTTAGAAGCTGTTCCTGGCGTGCTTCTGACAAGCAGGTGGCTTGCTTCTAAGAAGCAGTTCTGTGTTTCTAAGAAGTTGCTGGGGTACTTCTAAGAAGCGGCGCGCTCCTGGCCTCTGAGAAGGGCGGCTGGCGCCTTCTAAGAGGCAGCCGCCTTCTAAGAAGCCTTTCCCCCTCCCCCTGCCCCCCTGTGCGCGCCGACAAGTTGAGACACCCATCCTCTCCTGTCCCCCACGAAACTGCCCCAGGGCATGGCAAGCCCCGGGGGCGTCAGGGGCCTCGGCGAGCGCCGCCGTGGCCTCCGCGGTCCGCTCGAGGTCATCGGCCCATCGGCCGCACGGATCGACCCTCGGCCTCCGACGCCCCTGTTCGGCCCAGACCCCAGGTGCAGCCGCAGAGAAATCTTGGCGGACAACGCTGACAGACGAGTTCTGGAGCTCGCAAGCCCAAAAAGAGGACACTTCGGCGCAACGTGCCGACAATCACAAGGCCCCCACACAAACACACACACACACGCACACACCTCACAAGCAAACCAGCACATGACCCTCAAAGACTTTGTTTTACAGTTGAACAAATACATCCTCCTCCTCCTCCTCCTCCTCAGGCCCCTGCAGGGGCGCGCGCGGGGCGCGATTGAACGACAAGCTCTCCCACCTCCCACTTACTGCTATAACATGTCTTCGGTTCCCAGACTGTTCAGAAACGCTAGCTAGGGCTGGGCATGTCTATAGAGCTAGAACGTACAAACAAACAACGTGGCATCTCCCTCGAGTGTCTGCAGTGGCAGCCCTCCAACTGCCTGAGCAACTCAATCTGTGCCCTGTCGTTTTGAGGTCTGGGCGGAAGCTCGGGCGTTGGACCAAACAAGCTGGCAGTGGTTGATCGCGCTCGCAATGTAGCAGGAGGGGAAACACGCACACAGACACAATGAATGGTCGATTCCCAAGGAAATACGGGAAGCTATGGGAAGTTTGGGGGAAGGCGAAGATCCAGAACATATGGGAGACCATGGGGAATCTTGTTACATGCGTGTATGTATATATATATAAAGATATATACATAAATGTATATGTATATATATGTGTATATATATATATATATATATATATATATGTGAGTGTCCTTGGGCCCCTTCGATTTAGTTGCGATCCCCCCGCATCCTCCGAGCTCCGCAGGTCTATGGATTCCAGAAGGTGCCAGCCCGCCCGAGGCGCAGCGCGCCGCCCGCGTCGCCAGAGAGGGCGCGCCGCGAGGGAGCGCAGAGCGCAGCCTTCGGCTCCAGGGAGGGCGAGGGCGTCGGCGGCGCGACCGCGCCGCTCTCCCCGAGGTCGAGGCGCCCGCCACGCGGCGGAGGCCAGCGGCGGCGACGATGGCGGTTGCCGCGGCCGCCTGACAGCGAGGGTCCGCTGGCATCACCTCTTGCGCTCGGGCACCCCGTAGGCAGCAAGGTCTATACCGTCGGACAGAGCCATGGCATCCACCGCGGCGTGCCCGAAGACATGGTGGCATCCAGCTCAGAGGAGTCGAGGCCGTAGCAGTGTGTCTTGGTGTTGTTGCAGTGTGTCTTGGTGTTGTTGCTCTGCGCCGTCGGAGCCCGGCAGGATCGAGGGATTACCGCGTAGTTCGCCGCGTTTTGCTCGGGCCCCCCGTCGGCATCAAGCTCTACTTTCTCGAGATGGGCCACATCGGCCACAGCTTGTTCGAGTACCTGGGCAGCATCCCTGCTTGGAGAGTCGGGGCAGCAGCTCGGCTCTCGCCACGACGAGCTCGATCACCCCGTCGGGATCCAGCTCGGCACCGTCGAGCAGCACCACGACATCCAGCACGACGTTCTCGGGGAGCCCGTCGGCGTCCCGCTCTGAGAGTCGAGGCAGCATCACGTGGCTCGCGACGACGTGCTCGGGCACCCCGTCGGTGCCAAGCTCCATTCCGTCGAGGGGTACCAGGACGGCAATTACGACGTGCCCTAACATCCTGTCGGTGTTTGGCTCTGTTGGTCGAGGCAGTATCATGTGCTTCGCAATAGGTTTCCACCGCTACACCGTCGGACAGTAGCACGACGACCACCACGGCGTCCATTAACAGACCGTCTGCATCCGACTCTAAGAGTCGATGCGGAGGCGCGTGGTTCATCACAACGTGCTCGTGCCGCCCCTGTCTGTGTCTAGCTCTACACCGTCAGGTAGCACCACGGCGCCCCTTGCGGCGTGCTCGGGCGCCTGCGAGGCAGTGGTACAGCGCTTACTGCGACGAGCTCGAGCACCCCGTCGGCATCTTGCTCTACGCAGTCGAGCAGTGCCACGGCGTCCACCACGATGGGCTCAAGGAACATCTGGTCGGTAACCGGCTCGGGGAGTCGAGACCGTAGCACGGGGCTCACCACGACGAGCTCGTGCAACCTGTCGGTGTCCAGCTTGCCGCCGTCGAGCGGTACCACGGGGTCTACCACGACGTTCTTAACGGCTTAATCGGTATCCGGCTCTGGAAGTCCAGGCAATAGCACGGTGCTGACCACGACGCGCTCGAGCACTCGTAGGTGACAAGCTCGCCACCGTCGGGTTGCACCACAGCGTCCTCAACGACGTGCTCGAGCTCTAATCGGCATCCAACTCTGAGAGTCGAGGCAGCATCGCAGTGCTCGCCACGACGAGCTCGAACAACTCGTCAGTACCTAGCTCGACGCCGTCGAGCCGCACCACGACGCCCACCACGACGTGCTCGAGCATTTGGCTGGTCTCTGGCTCTGGGAGTCGAGGCGGTGTCGCGGTGTTCAACACGACGTGCTTGGGCACCCCGTCGGCAGCCATCTCCATGCCGTCGAGCAATACGACGGCGTACGCCACGACGTTATCGAGCGCCTGGGTGGTACCCGACGCTGGGAGTCGAGGCCGGTGCACTGTGATCGCCGCGACGTGTTCGTGCGCCCCGTCGGTGAACAGTTCTACATGCCAGGTCTGAATCACGGCGGCTACCGCGACTTCAGCGCGCGTTTGGTGTGTATCCGGCTCTGTGAGTCGAGGTAGTTTCGTGGTGCTCACCTTGACGTGCTCGTGCGCCCCGTCGGCGGCTTGCTTCGCGCCGTCGAGCAGTGCGACGGCGTCCACCGCGACGTGAGCGAGCACCTGGTCGGCATCGGGCTCTGAGAGTCGAGGCAGCATCACGTTGCTCTCCACGACGAGCTTGAGCACCCCGTCGGCATCTAGTCCGACACCGTCGAGCAGCACCATGACGCCCGCCTCGACGTGCTCGAGCACGTGGCCGGCATCGGGCTCGGAGTGTCGAGGCTGCGTCGCGGTGCTCGCCGCGACTGGCTCGAGCACCCCGTCAGTAACCAGCCCTACGCCGTCGAACGCTACGACGGCGTCCACAACCAGTGGCCATGCACTTTGTTGGTGCCCGACGATTGGAGTCGACGCAGTAGCACGGTGCTTGCCACGGTGTGCTTGTGAGCCCCGTCGGTGAAAAGCTTTACACTGGGCGAGCTGAACCACGGCTGCTACCGGCTACAGCGATGTCGGGCACTTGGTGCGTATCCGGCTCGGTGAGTCGAGGCAGCGTCGTCGTGCTCACTACGACGCGCTCGTGCGCCCCGTCGGCTTCCAGCTCGTCGCCGCCGAGCGGTACGACTGCGTTCACCACCGCGACGTGGTTGAGCACCCAGGTGGCAGCCGGCTCTGAGAGCCGAGGCAATAGCACGGTGCTCTGCACGACGTGCCTGTGCACCCCGTCGGTGATCGGCTCGACACCGTCGAGCAGCGCAGCAGCTTTCACCGCGACGCGGTCGAGCACCCAGTGCGTTGGTGTGAATCCAGCTCGGGGAGTCGAGGCGGCGTCGCAGTGCTCGCCGCGGCGTGCTCGCGCGGCCCGTCGGCGTGGAGTCATCGAGTCTACGCCGTCGGGCAGTGCGACGGCGTCAACCATGACGTGGTCGAGCACCTTGTGGGTATCCGACGCTGGGGGTCGGGGCAGTAGCACGTTGCTCACCGCGACAAGCTCGCGCATCCCGTGGGCAACCAGCTTTACACCGTCGTGCAGTACCACCGCGTTGGCCACGACGAGGTCGAGCGTCTGGTGTTTGTCTGGCTCAGGGAGTCGAGGCGTTAATCGTGGTGTCGTCTACACTCGTGCGCCCCGTCGTCATCCATCTGTGCGCCGACGGGCAGTCCGACGGCATCCACTGCAACGTAGTCGATCACCTGGTTGGTACCCGCTTCTGGGAGTGGAGGCCCTAGCGCGGCACTCGCCGCGACGTGCTTGTGCGCTCCCCTTCGGTGACCAGCTCTGCCCCGTCGAGCGGTGCCGCGGCGCATTCCACGGCGTGGTCGAGCACCTGGAGGGCATCCGGCTTTGGGAGTCGAGGCAGCGTCGCTGCGCTCACCGCGGCGCGTTCGTGCACCTCGTCGGCGTTCAGCCCTGCGCCGTCGAGCAGTGCGACGGCGCCCACAGCCGCGTGATTAAGCACCTGTTGGGTAATCAACGTGGGGCTTCGTGGCAGTAGCACTGTGCAAACCACGACGTGCCTTTGCACCCCGTCTGCGACCTGCTCTACACAGTCAAGCAGTACCACGGCGTCTACCACGACGTGGTCGCGTTCCTGGCGCGAGTCCGGCCCTGGGGGTCGAGGCAGCGTCGCGATGCCCGGCTTTCGGCTAACATCTTTGAGCATTGCGACGGCGTCCACCGTGGCTCGATCGAGGACCTGGGTGGTGTCCTACATCCTACACTGGAGTCGAGTTAGTGACGTGGCGCTCGCCACGACGCGGTCGGGCACCCCGTCGGTAAACGACCCTAACCCGTCGAGCAGCGCCAAGGCGTCAACCGTGTCGCAGACACAAACTCGGTGGGCACCCAGCTTTGGGAATCGAGGCAAGTTCGCGGTATTCACCACGACTTGCTCGCGCACCCCGTGAGCATCCCGCTCTGCAATGTCGACTGGCATGGCAGCGCCCACCGCGATTTGATCTTGCATTTGGTTTGCATTCGACGAGGGGAGTCGAGGCAGTGGCAAGATGCTCACCTCGACGCGCTCTTGCACCCAGTCGGTGACCTGCTCCGCAACGTCGAGCAGTGCGACGGAGGCAACAACGACGTGATCGAGCACCTGCTTGCCTCCGGCGCTGGAGTCGAGGCGGTAGGACGGTGCCCGCAACGACGTGCACGTGCACTTCGTTGGGGACCAGCCCTGCACCGTCGAGCAGTACCACGGCGTTAACCACGACGTGATCGGGCACCTGGTGGGCGTCCAGCTCTGGGAGTCGAAGCAATTTCGTAGTTCCCACCACGACGTGCTCGTGCGTCCCGTCGGCAGCCAGCCCCGCGCCTTCGAGCACCACGACGGCGGCCACCCCGATTTGATCGAGCACCTGGTTGGTAGCCGACGCTGTGCGTCGAGGCAGTAGCACGATGCTCGCGTCGACGTGATCGAGCACCTGCTGGCATCGGGATTGCACGGGGCTCGAGTCTGTTGCATTCCAGAAAGAGTGCAGAGTGCAGTTTATCTGAGGCTTCGAGCTGGGTCACTGCGCAGATGGCTGAGCAGGTCAACGCAGACCGCGAGGCCATCGCGCGCCATATCGAGTTTGAGGCCGACGATATCGTACCCAGCGGCGCGGCTGCGCGTTGGATGCTCTCAGCTAGCGCAGAAGTGAGCGGCGTGGCGAAGGGCGTGAACGGACCGCTGCTGGAGAGGCTCGCGCACAGAGCGGCGTTCGAGGACCTGGCGTGCATCGAGTTTTTTTCCGCCGGGGCGGGTCCGTGGCGGGGCCGCTGCCTCCCTCTGGATCAGGCTCGCCGGCGGCGCGTGCCAATGCCGCGCCGGTCGTCGATCTTGAAATCGGCGGCGAAGGCCGACGCGGCAATCTTGGCGTCTTCGCGCGAGGACATGCATGCCGGCGAATTGTTTCGCGTCGCCGCGCAGGACGTCGCGGCAAGGCGCACGCGCGATATGCGCGATCTGTCCAAAGTCGGCGATTCGGGGTCGAACAGGCGAAGCCAGACGGCAGCGTCAAAGTCGGGCCGATCGATGATTCGTCGCGGTCAAAGCTCAACGGGTGCACTTCTGAAGCCGGGAAGTACCGCCCCGAGGGCGCGGGCCTGTTCTTCGAAGCCTCCGGGCGCTTGGCGCTGGAGACCGAAGAGCCCGTCGCTTTCTTCAGGGCCGACGTGGATTCCGCGCGCAGGCGCGCCCCGGCGTCGCCTGCGCACCGCGCGCTGCTCTATATTGTTTTCCTGTTTCAGGGAGTGGCGCGCGCAGCGCGGCAATGTACCATGCCTTTCGGAGCAATCGCTTCCGTTCGCGCGCGGGAGCGAGTGGGGGCGTTAATCTCGCACGTCGCTCGCGCAGTGCTGCGCGTGCCCCTGCCGAGGTTTGTCGACGACCTCTTCGCTGCAGAGCGGAGAGGATCGGTGGTGCACGCGCGGCATTGCGTTGCGCGTCTGGCGCGTTGCATGCTCGGGCGCTGGGCCGTCGCGCCAGCCTACGTGGGCCGGGGATTGCAGCTGCAAGTGCTTGGTCTCAATGTGAGCGCGGACCGGGGGCAAGGTTTCTCACGTGCGCCTTCCGCGGACAAGGTAGTCAAGTGGCGCTTGCGAGTTCACGGCGCTTTGAACAGCAAGTCGCTAAGCCCTGGCGACGCTTCCAAGCTAGCGGGGGCCCTGCGATGGTCGTCGACAAGTATGTTCCATCGCTTGGGTAGGGCCACCACTGCCCCAGCGTCGTCAGACCAAACAGACTCGGGCCAACGTTGCCGCGCCACTCCGCGATGCTCTCCGCTGGTGGGACGAGGTCCTTGCCTTGGAATTGCACGTGAAGAGACAGTGGATCTGCCCCAGCGGCCCTCCGGTCCAATTATTTGTGGATGCAGTGGGGCACTCCGCCGAGAGCGGCCGCGGTTGCCGACTGGGAGCCGCCCCGCAGCATGATGACTTGTTTCAAGCAGCGGGTGGGCGGGGTGATCACGTCCCTGGATCCGCTTGCAATTTGCAATTTCGTTCGCGCGCTGCACCCCTGATCACTTCTTGCGGCGGCGCAGGGTCAGCGCGTGGTGCGACAGCGTGGGCGCCGAGAGTGTGGGCAGCAGGGGGTCGCCCAAGGAATGCGATTACTTTTCGCCTGGTCAACTGCCTTTGGCTCAAGGCAGCCCAGCAGCAGATCGTCCTGCGGGTTGACAGAGTTCCTTCCGAACTCAATATGGCGGATCCCCCCTCCCGCCAGGAAAGTGGCTTGCTTGCCAGGCTCGGCGCTGTGCGCGCGCCACCCGTGCTCGACGGCCCCTCCTGGGAACCCGCGTCGCGGTCAGCCTTGCCGGCGGCGACCGCGAGGCTGAAATGGCGGCCGCCAGCGCGGCCAGCGCGCGTCGTGCGAAGGCGGCGCAGCGCGGCGACCGCGAGGCTGAAATGGCGGCCGCCAGCGCAGCCAGCGCGCGTCGCGCGAAGGCGGCGCAGCGGACTTGGGCGCGTCTTGCGCAGTGCCACAGCCCGCACCTGCGCAAGGCGCCGGGGGCGCAGCGGCGCGCAGTGGGCGCGCAGCGCAGCGCGCGCGCAGTCCGCCGACCAGTGGGGGCGCAGCGGCGCATCGCTCCCATGAACGAGGCTCGGGCGCGTTTGCAATCGCTGGCCCCGGATCGTGAATCGAGGGGCATCGCGCAGGCTGCGGCGATCCTGTCCGCCGACGGTTTCCGGGCCATCGAGGACTTGGTCGGGGCTTGCTCTGTCGACCTGAGTGGCCCCAGGTTGGGCCCAGGTCCGGACCTCAGGTCCAGACCCCAGGTCTTGGCCCCAGAGCCGGACTCCCATGGGCTTTCGATGGCGAGCCACGCTGAGGCAACAAATTGAGCGGGGGTTGAGCATGAGCGTGAACGCGTGACCGCCATGCCGTACGCGTGCAAAGTTCAACGTGACACAGGGGCCGCAAACAGTTTGATGAGCCCCCAAGCGGAGGCATGTCCTGCTGCCCGCGCCATGCATCACCATGAGTTGCTCGATCTGAGAAAAGCACATTCGGGAGGGACATTGCATTGCCCGAGACACAGCCGACAACAACGCAAGTGTTTCCGCAACGAGGCCAGGCTGGGCACAGGGCCCTGCAAACGCGTCTCGCGAAAATAGCCCGCGAGCCCCGCACATTAGTGAGAGGCAGAATCGCGCGCGACAGCCAAGACACCGGAAGCCCGAGCAGGCGGCATCTCCGACGTCGCTCCACCACCATCCGCGTAGATATCAATTCTCATGACCTCCCCCTGTTAAGGCCCAGTAAAGTGACCAACGCGCTGCCCCCCCCCCCTTCGCGACAGGAGGTGCGTCGCGCATTCGTCGCCCGTGCGCCGCCCGTGCGTCGGCCGCCGAAAAGGCCAGCCGCCCTCTCGAACGTGCGCGTCGCCCTCGCAACGGGGCAACTTGGTGAGTGCGTCGCCAGCGCGGCGGACACCCGCGGGGCGGATCGCACGCGCGTCGCCCTCTCCACGGCCGCTGAAAAGGCCGGTCGCCTTCGGGAAAAAAGAAAATCGCCCGCGCTGTGGCCCTCTTGGCGAGAAGAAGGCGGCCGCTGGGCTACCTCGGCAGATCAGCAAATCCCTCTAACATTACAAATGCAGCGATGCTGCTGAACGCGCCCTGGCGACAGGCCAGCAGGTCCCCGCAGCCGCCGCCGCAGCCGCCGCAACCGCCGCCAGCGCCGAAACTACCGCCGCTACGATCACCACAAACGGATGCGACCGCAACCACATCCACCGCGACGATTACGACCAACACCATTTACCGCCAGCACCACCACCACGACCACCACGCTTCTCGCGACCACCACAACGACCGACACCAGCACGATCACCGACGCGACCACCGCCAGCCCGCCCACCACCAGCGGCGCGACCGCCGCCAGCGCGACCAAGGCCACGAACGCGACCGCGACCATGATCACCAACATGACCATTCCAGAAGCGCCCGCCCACTCCGCTCCCCCCTCCCCATTCCCCTGCCGGGCCGCCCTTGCCGCCGCGCCCGCCTCGCGCCACTGCCCCTCCCCTTCCTGTTCTCCTCGTGACCTTCCTCCTCCACCGCCAGCGGCGGGGCCGTTCGCGGAAGGCGGGGGCGCCGCTCGCGGCGACGCGCCGCGGCCGCGGAAGGGGGGCCGAATGAGAAAAAGAAAATGAGAAGGGACACGGGGTGGCAAGGGGGAAAAACAACAAAGACGAGAGAGGAGGGGGGAGGGACTGACAGAGGGAGGCCGGTAGAAAGGAAGAGGAGAAGGGGAGGAGAGAGGGAGACGAGGCAGGAGAGAGGACGAACGAGGAGGAATGAGAAAAGAGGAGGGACGACGAGGAAAGAAAAGGGAAATAACAGGGGCAAGCACCGCCCTTCCTGGCGCAATGGAGGACGCAGCCGCCGCCACTTGTGAACAGCGCAAGCACGGCGGGCCGACGGCCGTTGTGCATTGCTGCTCGGAGGAATGCTAGGGGCGGGCAAAGTCGCGACTGCGTCGCGCATGCGTCGCGCGTGCGTCGCGCGTGCGTCGCGCACGTGGCGCGTGCGTCGCGCGTGCGTCGCGCGGGTCGATCGTGCGTCGCGCGCGCGTCGCGCGTGCGTCGCGCGTGCGTCGCGCGGGCGTCGCTCGGGTCGTTCGCGCGTCGCGCGCAGGTCACGCGCGAATCGCTCGAAGGGCGCCGCGGACTCCTGACGGCATGTGAACTGCGCGGCCCGCTGGCG